TACACTGTTTCAGAACACTGCTTACTCAGCAATTGTCTGAGTAACACTAACAGGCGGCGAACCAGCAGCATAGCACAGTCGGTCTACCAGCTGTCTGGATGGCATTGTAAGGGCAACCCTGGAGACTCCGACGAAAGCCTAGCAGGGGAGGATCCAAGACGTGAATAAAAGCTACAGGAAATACACGGAGGGACCGACCTAGCAGGGGAGGATCCAAAGAGAAGAAACTCTAAGGGTCTGCCTCTGCTAGGCGCCAACTATATACTGGTCGTCCGTAACTGCCGACGTAGAGCGCAGAAAGCCTGAGCTGAGCGGCGTTGCAGGCTCTGTCCCAAGGTGATCGTTGGGAGGGTCTTGACGGATCAGTGATTGTGCGGGCGAAGGAGGCCGAGGACGAGGGTTGGGGTAGGTCGGAGCGTCCGAGGGGGCGCCGGTCGGATGTGCCTCGGATGCGCTCGGATGGTCTGAAGGAGGCCGAAGTGGGGGTTCCCCTGACAGGCATATGACTATGGTCAGGCCCAGTTTCAATGGGCCTTGAAGTTAACTTGAGCTTAGGTTGGACTTGCACCAACTCCAAGCCTCAAGACTGGTCTGGTGTGATGCGTGACATCAGGTATCAAAAGCTTTGGCTTGGGCTAGCACCGTCACGTGGGGGAGTTCAATGTTGAGTCGTGGTGATTATTTACTTGCTTGCTTGCTTGGTGTGTGTGGGGGAGCTGGGGGGAGGGAATACTGACCCATTTCGATCAATTCAGCGGGCCTGTGACCCGTGACCGTTTGGCCGAAATGTCCAATTCGGCCACAGGCCGAATTTCGCGTGACCTATTACCCGATTGGGAAGTTCGGCGCGCCGCAGGCTCGAAAATTTCGAAATCTTCCCGATTAGGACAGTTTGGGACCAAAAGATTTGGCTGTGACCCGTGACCCGCCAAAATATTTCGGCCAAAAAATCCGATGTGACCGTGACCCGCCTAATTGAATGAAATAGGTCAGTATCCTACACTGATCTGGAAGTCGCAGGTATTGGCCCTTGTTGCGTCACTGCCTCCGCGTCTTCCGTCCACACTTAAAGGGCTCAGTGTGATGGGAAGGTCATCCCGGCAGTCCGACGCGGACACAGTGATTGCGCCGAACGCGAACTTCGCGGTGCCCGACCCCGACAGGCTGCTGGCGCAGTTGCGCTCACGCTGCCCGTCAATGCATCATATCATGATTGAGGTTCCGCTCCTGCAGCTGAGGTATTAGACCATGCCCATATGCACATCTCTTTGTAAAAATCCACGAGGCTCTTCAGTGCTGATCTCAGTGGATCACTGGGCATTGGAGTGAAGGAGACAGATGATGGTGTCCGACTCGGACACAGACAGGCTACGTGTGGAGCTAGCTCCGCCGCTGGTATCTGTCGCCGCACGCGGGGACCATTGATGCATCCACACATTAATTTGGCAATTAAGCAGCTCAAGGCACATAAGACACTCTCCCGGGGCTAACGAACAGCGTCCCTGGCAGGAGACGAGATGCAGGACCCGGGACCAGTCCGGTGCCCCACCGACGTCAACAAAACGGTACGCAGGTGGGTCCCCATCCGCGACGCACCTGCCGGGCGGGCTGAGGAGTGCGCCGCGCCGCGCGGACGGCATGTCCGTGATCCCGCAGAACATGGGCCGCGCGGGATAGATGCTTGAGGGTCGAATGCAGATGCAGTATGGTGGAACACACTGTCGGTTGATCAGTGCTTTCAGAAGACCGATAAGGTGGAAGAGCACACTGAGCATTGGAGAAGTATACAGTGCGGCTTCTCCGAGGTCAATCTGCTGCGCGCATCATTTGGAGGCGCTAATGGACAGCGTTGTTGCCCACGGGCTGCATCGCATGAATACCGGTGCAGAGTGGAGGAATAAAGATAGCGCACTGCTTGCGCAAACAGCCCATGTCCGTGTTGTTGCTCCACCGCTCCAGAACATCTTGATGAAGACGCCAATGACGTCAGGGCAGCTCGAACACGCCTCCGAGTTAGGATGCTCTTCAGCGGCGCGCGTCGTCGAGTTGATGTCGATGCGCCGGTCGGCAGCTAAGATCGTCGTGGGGAAGCTGACGCGGCCGCAGCGATAGCATCCACGGCCCGGCCACAGTTGGGCATAAGCCAACCGCCAGCGCGGCGGCCACCAATCCGCGGAATCGGTAGCCTGGCAGGCGCCTGTGTGATATTGTGTCAGGTGTACGGATTATCCTCCATAGCGCTGAGGCGGATGGCAAGCAGCACCACGGGGCACGATCGTCTCCGGATGGCCAGCGCGCAGACCCGTTAGCGTGAGCTTTCAAGTTGCGTCGACGTTTGATTTGCCAAGTCCGGACCCACAGAGTCGGAATCGATGCGCCGGTGTAAGTCCTGTGTTAGCAATTTCGTCTCAGCGGAGAGTCTCAATACAGATTTAGACTCTCGAATAAGTTGGCATCCAGAGAAGGAGTTGTTGGGGCATGTGTATCGGCTAGTGTTGCGTAGATCTGCCCCTGAGGCTGGCATTTTGCATCGAGACGAGTTAATTCGTGTCCTCGACAGTGCTGTTGCACACACGCTGCATAGTTATTAGTATAAATACCGGACCGGAGTGGAGGAACAAATCCGAAGATGACCACTCTCCAGCGGCAGGTCCATATGCTGGAAGATGATGATCATTGTCGATGTGCGCAAGATGGTGCTGACCGAGTTGGGCGTCAGGAAGCTGAGGTGGCTGCGGCGCGGGCATCAAAGGACTGCCAGTGGTTGGGCACAAGCCAAGGTCCAAGCTTGCAGCGCGGAGGAGAATCCAGTATGGCCCAGACCACATTTTGCATACCGCGGGCAGCGGTCCAAGTTCGGTTGGGAAATCCGAGGCAGTTGCTAGTATTCCTGCTCGGGTAGAGCATACGGTCGATTTGATGACTGGTGTCTGAAGACAGAGAATAAGCTAGGATAAGAGTGGGCTTGTAAAAAAGGTGCGCGCTCGGTCAGCGATGTCGGGAAAGCGAGGACAGCGTAACACGCCAGGCAAAGATCTCCAGCAGCACAGTGTCGCCACAGATTTAGACTCCCGGAGAAGTTGGCGACTGGAGAAGGGGTGGTTGGCGCATGCGTATCGGTTAGTGTTGCCGTAGCATTGCGCCAGCTGGCGCCGCAGGTGTGCTGCAAAGGCTGGCATTGTGCGTCGAGATGGGCGTCAGGAACAAAAAGGGAGGCGATTGCGTAAGATGTGACTGGGCGATCACATCATGATTAGCTCCGCGCCGGGCACGCCCGATTGGCTGGGCACACGTGTGCGCTGTCAATATGTGGCAGCGCTTTCCTCTCTTCACTTCCAGCTTGGCTGCAACTGGTCGCTCCATGTTTCCGAACGAACTCTTTCACGAAGTGCTCAAAGATGTGTCGCCCGCCCAGCTCAAGCTCGTCGCTCTTGCTTCTCGTCGCCTGCGCCTGCTTGCCCGCCCATTCCTCTACAGCAAGCTTGCCGTGAAGCCATATGCGCCCTGGAGGAGCGCATTGCCTGGTCAGGCGGCGCCATCCTTAAGCTCCCACCTGCTCATGAGGTGGTGGATGCCATCGCAAAACTGGCCTTCTTCATGTCCCCCCGCCATTGCGCCGTATGTGCACTGCATCAATGTCGCCTGGGAGGAAGTGAATGGCTTCGCCGAAAGAAGCAGAGACGCAGTATTCAACGATGTAGCCGGCACGCACACCATCTGTGACGTGCTATTCGCCGGCATCTCCAAGTTCGTTAACCTACGCAAATTCTATGGCCACAGTCTCATATTCACGCTCTCTGCGCTCGCCAACCTTGCGCAGGTCCGCGGCCCGATTGAGCTGGATCTCTTTGCCTGTTCTGTGGACTCCGAGATCCAGGCATTCCTTCGTGCCGCTATTAACGCACTCGACATCCGTATCCGTGTCTCAAGCGTCAAAGTCGCCACCTCGGCAGCATACAGTCCCACGTGCACGCTCTCAGAATGGTTCGCGCTCTTTGAGCCCATCACACTCTCCGCGGTCAGCCTGGACATGGATCAACCAGTGGAAGGGCTTACGAGTGTGCTACCTCACGTAAAACACCTGGCGCTTAGACTCTCCGAGGGCTGCGGCGCGTTGCTAACCTACTCTGGCTGTGTGCAGCTGCAAGCGGCCTTTCCCGCAGTTGAGCAGCTTAGTGTCGAGGCGGCACTCTATGTGGACGATCCGGGGCTGCCGTGGGATGGCCCTAACGGCGGCGAACCGTTGTTTCCCGCTGTATTCAAGCTCACGACCACGTATGAAGCCAGTGAAGCTTTACCCCTCCTCCTGCGGATTGCACCGTCTATCCACACATTGCATGTCGAAAACGCTGATGCCACAAGCTTAGTGTCCGTGCTGCAGCGCAATAGGCAGTGCATCCCCGTGACAATCACGACACTCACCCTCGAATGCGACTCGGAGGACGGCGATCTTGCCGTGTGGGGCGCGGTCTTTGCACATTTTCCGCACCTGCATACCCTCGACTTCACCGTAACGATGCTGTCCGGACGCGTGCCCGCCGTAAGTGAATGTCTCCTAAGTGTCGTCATCCGAACTGTGCCCATACCCTACTCAATACTATCACAGCCTGCCGCCTTCCTCACGGGCTTCCCGGCTAGTCTTCCCTTGGGTTTGCAGCGGCTCAAGTCAAGTACTCGGACACGAGTATGTTCTCTCGCCGTGGCCCCGGAGCGGTTCCTCGTCCGACACCTTGGTGATGCAGACAGGACAAGTGCTACGGAGGCAGCTGCTTCGCCGTTGCCCCAATCTGAGCTGGATTTCGATACTTGCACCACCCTTCCATCTCAACCTCCAGTGGACAAAGGACGCATAATCATGATATAGACACATACGAATTGAGCACACCAGATCACAAAAGATATTCAATATTGATAAACGAGAGAATGAGTGGCATTTGTATTCTTCCTTACTTGAGCTGATCTTGTGGTCAAAGGAAAGATAGGGGTGATATTGCACCGAGTCAAAGGATGCCCTGATCCAGCGGCGGGCGACCATACGTCTCCTACACCAACATCATTAGTGCATTATCCACCTCATCATTGGATAGAGAAATACGCACCGGCTCCTGCGGGCGGTTACCCAACACAGCCTCGATCCGCGCCAACACCGCAGCATCCAGCTTGGGCAGGACCTCAAGCGCGCCGAGGTTCGCCTCGAGCTGTGCGACGGAGGACACGCCGAGGATGACTGTGGAAGTGTGGCGGTGCGCCGCAACCCACCCGCGCGCCAGCGCGGTTCCGCCCAGAGTTCAGCAAGTCGGGGAGAAACGACGCACCCGCAGCAATTTGGCTGAGGAGACGCACTTTCCAAAGCAGCTCTTCGCCCTGGGGACCCTCCGTCGCCCCCGGAACATGGGCACGGTGGCGAAGCGCGTGCCGTCTGGGATGCCGTCGTTGTACTAGCAAAGTTAGTTTACGTGTTAGAGGGTTGAGGAGGATATACCTTCCCCGTCAGCAGTCCGCCCTGCAGTGCAGAGAATGCGGTTGTGCCCAGGCCGTACTTGGCGTACAAAGGGCTACAAAGTCAGCATTAGCTACTGCTGAAGTTTGATGGTTGCCCACGCACGCGTATTCCTTCTCCGGACGTTCGCGGTGGAACATGCTATCGTCTCCTCAGCATTATTTCGAAGGAAGAAAGAAGATGGCGCAGACTTGTGCTTGCACTGCTCCGCGATCGGCGCGATGAGGTTTAAGCGCGTGGCAACATCTGTGCTGCGGGTAAGCGACGGGAGGTCTCGGGAGAGGTACACGCTCACGATGCGCCTCCTCGATCTGGTGCGCGCTCCACTCGGAGGTGCCCCAGTAGAAAGCCTGCGTGTGAATCTTAGTGGATATGGATAGACAAAATCCACCACTCACCCAGCCCTGGTCGATAACATAGTTAAATGCCGGACGATCTCCTCCATCGGAACTAGCCTGCGTCAGTTGACCTCCTTATGGCGAATGTAAGAAACCCACCGGTGGTATCGCAACGATGCGCCGAAGATGACGTCGACATAGTCCATCTGGAGCCGTCGCAAACAAGCCTTCGTGCCCTCGATAACGCTGTTGCCAGTCAGAGTTGTAAGGAAGGAAAGGAAGGTGGCGCACTGTTTGTGCGACAGCCCCGTGTCGTTCGGGCCCGTGCCTGGCTCGTGGCTCCAGAATATCTTGGTTGAGATGACGAGGTCCGTGCGGCGCCAGCCAAGTTCTTTGATAGCGTGTCCCCTGATTTTGCTGGAGTCAGAGAAAGCGTGGTCAGAAGGGAATCTCAGGGAACGCACATTTCGCGCTCAGCCGCACCTTTCTGGTAGTCCTCCGCGGTGTCGAACATGTTGATCCCATTCTCGAAGGCGGCCTGCATGATGTCCTTGACGCTCTCGCCCGACGACGGAGCCTCCGAGGGGTGAGCCCTGTCGAGAGCTCAGCTAAAGCCAATGGGGAATGCGCAAAGACGGACAGCCGCCGAGAGAGAAGAGCGGCACGCGCAGACCGCTGGGGCCCAACCGGCGGAAGGGCATCGCTTTTTGCGTCGAAGACGGGGACTGGAGAGGACATGGGGGCAGGTGGAGAGGAGTGGAATGGGAATCGATTGCAGCGCCGGCGAACGGGCCGGTGGTGTCTGCGGAAGGCGGAGCGCCGTCGGTGGGGGCAGTAGACCTATTAGTGAAATGAGCGATTGGCTCTGCGTGATGAGCAAGACATGGGTAACGCACCGTGAAAAACTTGAACACGCCGTAGCGACTATCAGGACCCAGTTACGCGGACGAAATAGCACACGCACCTTGTCCCCGCCCGGTTGTGCCCTGCTGCTTGCCATCCGGGCCGTCCACGGCTGATTTCACGCCGCTTGTTTCCGCCCAGTAGAGGCCGCCACCCTGGGTGTCAGACTGCCAGCGAAAAGTGAGGGATTACTGGGGAGTAGATCAGCGAAATAGAGACTGAATGCACAACACGCACCTCAAGCCACGCCAAATCGACCGTCGCAGCCCATCCCTGCTCCTACTCGCGCTGTGGCTCAAGCATAGCATTCGTGCCGCGCTCCGACCAGGGCGGGACCGTCTCCAGCGCACATGGAAGGAGAAGACAAGGCGTGGCTGCTTACGTGGCACTGGCGATCGGCATCAGGTCCGGGCTCGGCGGCCGTGACATCAATCTCTGGTTTCTTTCCTCCGCTCCACGACGACGATGCGCTTGCACGACGATACCTAGCGCACCCTGCGGGCCACTCCGCGCCACGAACGACAATCCGAGGCCCAATTTCTCTGGTGCATTTCTACTCCAGACATCGCCCTGCTCGTTCTCATAACTCGGGCCGGCAGTGCGTCCAGGACTATGGTCGAATGCCACTCCCCGTGCTCGTCAGCTTTCTTGCTCCACCCGCTTTGCGCCCGCCCGCCGCCGCCGTTGCTAGCCGTTGCTGCGCTGCATCTACAAGTTTGCCACCCCCCACGGCTCTTCCTTCGCCTTAGAAATCCAGCCCTCGGGCCCGGTCCATATATCCCCTGGTGTGTAGCTCCGGTCGCGTTCGCCTCGCGGACCGGCCTTCTTGCGCGACACGTCAACGACACTGGCCCGCTTTTGCTTCCTTGCCGCCAGTATCTTGACCCACGACAATTGTACTTAACGCGCTGAATCTACGGATCCTCTAGTTTGTCGTCCACTCAACGTGCACTTACCAGCAAGCTCTTCCGCACTGAGCTGTCCCCCCGCATGACTGTGTTTTCGGCAACGGTCATTTGATGCTTGTCATATCTATTCGACAACATGCTGGAATGCCCTGTCGTCTTACCAATCAAAGAAATATTATCGAGTTAGGCATGCACGAGTCCAAACACATGTCCGAGTCGGCGATAGATTCAATCGCTGGTCCACTGCAAGTCCAGGAATGACCCACGGATAACTATCTGCCGTAGACCGCCACACCCTTTCAGTAGTTCTGCCTGGAGCTCATCCTCGCTTGGAAGACGGCTCAATCCCACTCTTCCCGTTTGCCCCCCGGGAAGGACAGCCCTTGAGGACCAAATATGGACACGGAGACTTTCGAGAGTGGGCGGAAGGATGGTCGATAGGCTGGCGAGGAAGTGAGGGGCCTGGAGAACGGTGTTGATAGGATCAAGGCCGCAGATAACAGGACAGAATTCACCTCGCTTGGCCGAGAATCACCGCTGGACTCTTTGACACGGAAATCGAGGGTGCGCAGGTTCGGGAAGAAGGCAAGGATCCCGGACCAAAGGGAGTAATTGCCATTATCCGACTGCAATGCTACGTTAGTTATCGTGGGCGGAATATACCTCTCGATGCGCTGGAGCGTAAACAGCAGTCTCCTGGCAGCTTCATTCCAAATCTTCAGTTTGTTCACAAATGGTGTGCATGGGAGAACTGCAGGCAACACTTTGCAGGCTGTGGTCAGCTCGCCCCACACAGGAAGCACACAAGCTGGCTCGCTCGCGGCCATCTCTGTGTTATAAGGCCCATCGATGACCTGAACGCACAGCTGTTCGAGTCCCGGGAAGGTGCGCGGCAGCTGCTCGATGCCAGAGTGGGTTAACACCAATGAATTCTGGATCCGCAATACAAGATGTCGCACCCCTGGAACACGACATCTTCGCGACAACCTGGCAAGGCTGAGCAGACGCTTGTCAATGCACCAAGTGAACTTGACCAGCATGGCAAGATCGAGGATGTGAATCCATGACCAGAGATCCCCTTCTGGCTCCGAATCTCCAATCGCAAATCGGAAAACCAACTCAGAGACGGGAAGTCGGATATCGAGTGCACAGGAAGCTGCAGGAAACGCACCAGCGGCACCACTCTTCCACCACATCATTCTCTCGTCCCGCGGCCGCTCGCTCACTCCTGAACTAGGCTTGACGGAGCAACGCCCTTGCACGAACAGTATATACCACCAGCCACGGTATGGCTTGCCAAAGCGGTCCCCACCCGGGCCGTCGCGGGTCAGGAGAACATCTGTCCAATGAGCCCAGGACCCCTGCGGAGCGGAGCTAGCGGGGAACGACCCCGAGCGAGTCGAGCGGGGCATCAGGACGGTGCAGGCCTTCGCGTTGAGGGTTAGGGTCACGCTGGCAGACGGCCTTCTTCGCGGTGGGTCCCTCCGCTGTGTCGGCTGTGCGTGCGCGGGACTTATCTGCGGAGGTGTAGCTGAGCAAGCGGCACCACCCCGACGTGCCCGGCCACCAGTCGACGCCGGCGTTCCACGAGGTTGCGGAGGCGTATAATGTCCTTCGACGCCGGCGTTCCACGAGGTTGCGGAGGCGTATAATGTCCTGCGGGGGGCGGTACTAGGTGTGCCGCATACGGTTGATTTCGTGTGCTTCACAGAACTGAGGAGACTGTGACAGACGCGCATATGACAACACGCTTCCGTGTGAGAAGTGGACGACTTGAAGGCACTGATAACTTGGAGGATTCCGATTCAATAGTTTACAGAATATTTTCCACTAGAAGGACTACCAATCATTGTCATATTTCCCTGGGGCGCCCGCTGAGCGACGCTCCGCAAGCATTTTATCCACGCGCTCCCAGAACCCCGCACTAGTCGCGCCGCCTGTCCACTCATCCTGCCACTCCGGCCAGCCGATCCCCTGGTGGACCAGGAGGCACGCAGGGTGCTCTATGAGGCGTTCGTCGAGCGGCACCTTCCCAACGCGCTGGTAGGACAGGACGAATACATTCAACCGCCGATGTGGATCCGACAGCACGTCCAGCAACATGTCGAGCGGTGGGGCGTCCCTCTGCAGAATGTCGTGGTACCACTCCTTTGTATCGATGGCGAGATGCGTCAGCGCACGAAGCGCCAGAAGCGGCGGCCAGACTTGCGGCCAGCGGTGGTAGAACGACAGGTGGAGGTGTGTGATGCGCGTGAGCGGAGAGGTCGGGAGATGCGGTCATCATGTAGAGCGAGAGCAGGTTCGTGGTGAGCCGCCGGAGGTTGGGCAGAGTTCCGAGCACGTCTGCCGTGCTAAATATGAGACCACGCGGTAGAATGACAACATCTTGGAGGTGGGGGCAGGAGTTCAGAATACTGTTAGTCTCAGACGAGGAGAGCTCTCCGTCGAGACGCAGACCGGTCGACTGCGCGATGAATGCCTGCCGGCGGGGGTCTTCGATGAGCGCCCTGAAGGCAGACGGCGACAAGACTGGGAATGGTGTATTGAGAGTCGGACCAGCCTCCGGATCCCGAAGACTCAAGACGTTGTACAGCAGCGGCTCCACACTGGCGGCCACAGCTGGTCAGCGAGAGAAACGGACCAAAGTACGCATTGCCGGGCACCACTCTTTCACCCACCACGCCACGCGCATCAACACTGGGATGCCCCGCGGCCGCTGCAGCGCCTCGCGGAAGATGTGCAGCTCGATCTCTGGGGGGAAGGGCGGGTCGTCCATGAGAGTGAGAAGCAAGATGCGGGGATGAGTCAGCTGGCGACCGCGGGAATCAATCAACTGGAAGCGCCAGTGTTCCGCAAAATGCTGTATAACATCGCTGCAAGTGCCTACCAGCGAAAGACGCGACGCCGATGCGGGACAACGCTGTTGGCAGCCAGATGCCAGCGCATAGTGGACGACGCAGAGGATCGGTCGAATAACGGCGACTGCACCATTCTTGGGGGAAAATTGGCAATATGTTGATTAGTAGTGCACGGATACAACAACGTCTATTACACTGACAATGGGTGAGCCCCAATTACTAGTATCAAGTGCACAACACACCTTGTCCCTCTGCACACGACAACCATGAGACCCGCCGAGACGGGTCAAGGAAGATAAAAAATTGTGCCACGACGACGGACAAATACGATGTACAAGGAGCCGCGTGCGCTGGCGCCCACCCGCCAGCCACATTTTATTTTTGAAGCGCCTGATCCCATGTCCATCCTGCCTCGAAAGCAGGCTGTTCCTTCCTCGACACCAGCGCGGGCCACCGAGGGCAGAATCGCAAGGTCGGCTCAGACCGTGTGGGGGAAAGTGGGCGGAAAAGAAGGGCGATGACCCGTGTTTGGCAGGGGCGGCGCACGGACCATGCTGATGCACGTGCACAGGGAGCCATCAAATTCATGTCCGTGGACACGTTGGCCGTGAAGGTTTTTGGGCACCATTGTAGTCCTTTGAGCGCAGAATGCTGCACTGTGTCCTCCGATACCCGACTGTATTAAGCTGGAGAAGGAGCTTGAGAGCAAGACCTGTCTTTCAAGTTGAGCGCAGTGGCTTGGCATCCCAGTCGGCTGTCACACGCTCAGTGACGCTCTCACGCGGCAACCATTTCTCTCCTAACAACCGTGTTGCCCAACGAGCTCCTCCTCGACGTCTTCCGACGAGCGTCAAGGGATGACCTGCACAATGTCGCCCGTGCATCGCGGGCGCTTCTGCTCTTTGGCTCGCACACTCCTACTCACCAACCTCTCGTTCCTGCCCTATACCTTTGACGACGGAGCAAACGCAGCAGTTGGAGGATAAACTGGGACTGTTTGGGTCGAATAGCGTGGCGCCGTACGTCAAGTGCATCTCTGTCAACCTGCTTAGCTGCTACTCTGGGTATT